AAAAGTTTCGAGTGCCCCGCGCTGCGGGCGCCCCTCCCGGAGCCGCGGCGCAGAGGGGGAGGGCCCCCCTTTTGTCAGCCTCGCCGCGCGGTCCCGTGACATCACTCATTCCACCCCCTTCGGGGTGCTTGTTGTGTTGTTTTTTGTCGGGCAGGAAGGCGGGCTCGACTTTCTCTTTTTGCAAGCTGGAGCTGGATCCTGTCCTGTTGCGCCCGAGCTGCGGTTTCCATCTTGAGCTACTCTCCCTTCAAACTTCTCCAAGTGTCCGCACAACTCACCTTTCCCTGACTTCCTTCACACTCGCCTCCCCTCTGCGAGCCGGGCTGGGCAAGGAGATTGGAAATTTGGAGCTCCCCGAATGTTCAAATGGAGTTTTGTGTTTTCTCTCCGCGGGCCGAGGGAAGGGGAGGAAGCAGAGAAACTTTTTTCTCTTCCTCCCCTCCCCAGGACCTAGCCTGCCGGGGGCGAGCGCAGCACGCGTCTACACTCGCGCTCGCCCGGCCATGGCGCTCTCCGGGTGTGGGCGTGGGGGGTGCGTTGAGAGAGAAAAAAAAAGACCACGGCCTGGGCAAATTAGGCGTGGCGCTTCTTTCACGTATCCAATCTTCTTAAACTTTTTAGTACAGAAAACCTTGAATCTTTCATGGAAGCCCCTCCTCCCTCCCCGCAAAAGAAACAACCCACTGAGCAATGATCCACTTTCCACGCAACCTTGAAATTACGGGCGGCCCCCTACCCCCCACGCGCGCACACACAGAACCAAGAACAAAGTTACTTCGGTGAGAATGAAGGTAAAATAAGTGGGGGAGGCGACACTTAACTTGTTGTTGCCGGCCGCCCGTCCCCATGAGAACGGAATTTATGGTTTGTCACCGAGCGATGTTTTGGGGCGCGGGGGGGGGCGGCCTGGTATCCCCAAAACGGTGGGGCCCAACGTGAATGACGATTCCCTTAAAAACGATGAAGTACGTGTTTATTTCCTGTAGGTTGTGGACGCGTCCCCCGGCCGTCCCTGCGCCTCGGCCGGGCGCTGC